TCTAATTAACTATATATGTTTAATTTTTTTATATGATATCGAAGATTGATCATACAATAGATGGTTTAACATGCCAAAAATATTATATGCTAAGTGAATATAATATGATCAAGTATTACAAGTACATCATTTAATAAAATAAATAATCAACAACCGGAAAATCATACCCGCGCTGGCGCGCGGGTCAAGGTCTAGTTAAACTATTATTTACTTATTCTGCAAAATTATATCAATGTTCAATCATTTACGCTTCATGAATCTGGTAATGTATTGATTACAGCTATTGGTAAGTAAGACTCTGCACAAAATTATGTGTTTATTTTTATTTTTATTTTGCTTAAATGATTGCTAGTTTTGGTTTATAGAGTTTATATATTGTGTTGCCCAAAAAAAAAAAGAGTTTATATATTGTATACTATAGATTATGCTCTCTAGTAGGGCTGTTCAATATGGTAATACCGAACCGTACTGAACCGAACCGAACCGAAATAGACAATATGGTTTGGATTTGGTATATGCCATATAAACCGAATGTATATGATTTTTAAAAAACCGTAGGATTTGGATATGGTTAGGTTTATAACCGATTAAACCGAATAAACCGAACAAAACCGATCAAAGAAAAAATATAAAAATATATATATTATATAACCATTTATTTTCTTGGAATAGTCTTTTTTGTTTTTTACCTTTTTATTCCTTGTGAAGATATATCTTATTCCTTATGAAGTTATATCTTAATAATTTTATTTTATTTTCTTCAACTATTATCTAAATTTGAATTTATTTTGCATGTTGTAAGAAATTGTGAAAATAGATTGTACCATGTAATTTATTTTAAAGAACAAATAGAAAATAAGAAAAGCTGTACAAAACTGAATCGTTGGTCGTTTTGTTTGTTGTAATTTCACATTTTTATATTTATGAGCACCTATGATTATTTTAATAAATGATAGTTTTGAGAATATGTTTTTTTTTTAATCATATAATATAAAACCAAATCAACTAATAATGTTATTTGGTATAAAACCGAATAAACCAAAAACTGGTAGTATAAATACCGAACCAAACCAAATTAAATATGGTTCCAATATGGTAGCTAATTTTTATAAACCGAATAACCGAAAACCAAAAAAACCGAACCGAAACCGGACCGAACACCAGATTGAACAGGCCTACTCTCTAGAAAAGAAAAGTGCAGTCAAGTCTTGAGAAAATGTGGCATGTCCTCTTCTAGTGTTTTACTCCTATTAACTTAGGCCATTAATTCCCTTTTTAAATCACGAATTAATGTAAAGATTTTTCTTGATTATACAATAACTAGCAGCATTTCAAATTAACTATAAATTTGCACACACAAAAAAAATCAGTTTATGAATCGATTGGGTAGTAAATGTTATACTATATCTAAGCTTACAACAAATAAGAACTCAACGTCAACTTGAGACCTCTTTTGTTTTGTAAATTCATATATTCTTTTACTTTTTTAAACATAACCGTTGCTTCTTAATTCTCATGTTTTTTTCCTTTAACTTCTTGGGATGAAATTATGTATATGCTTAAAACACTTATGCCAAATAGACATTTCATGATAATATCGGGGACTTTTTAGTAATTACAGAACTTTCAATTTAAATTCATAAAGATAAACCCTCCAAATAATCGCATCTCTCTGCGGCATTGTATCGAACACCTTGCGCGCAACTAAACTGAATCTCTCCCCTCTCGTTAACGATCAAGTAACAAAGGCGGCGACTTGTTCCGACTTACCACCGGGACAAAGCAGACAATGGGCACCGATAAAAATTCAATCTTTGGGTCTAAAAGAGATTTCGCATAAGCTTTGACCAAGCCATAGAGTCTTCACAGCTTCACTTCGAGATCGCCGAGCAACGACCCTCGTCGGGATTTCTATTTTAAGTATGTTTCCTTCTTAATTGGAATCGAAATTCGATACCTTTATCTCTACTCCGTGATATAGACTCTGTGTTTGGGCCGCTTGTAGAAATTGAGAATTTTCTAGAGACTTGATTGGTAGCTTTTGTTTTGGTTATGGCTCTAAAGCTGAAAGGCCTAAGATGAGTGTAATGGCGTGGAGTGGTTTCTTGTATGGTGAAAGTGTTTAATTGTTTTAATGATGGTTTCCAGCTACGTCAGAACGGTGTGTTGAAAGTGTTGTTTTAGATTATGTTTAATCATTTCTTTTTTGTCAGATTATGTTTTTGGTGACTGTAAGTTTGGTGCAAAGGCTCAGTCAATAATTAGGAATAGATGAATGTGAGAAACATGGCTTACCTTAAGCTGCCTTGGAGAGTGCCACAGCACAAGTTGGTATGGTCCTTCTTTCATCTCCATCTAATTGCTTACTTGGTCCAATAATTCAATTGCTATTGTTTGGTACATTTTAGGAAAGAGATCACACAGAGTTTGTGTGTAGAATGAAGGATTACATTGGGAGATCAGATTTCTTTGAGAAGACAATTAAGGCTGTGGGAAACAAGTGAACCTTGAAGATATTGATTCCTACGCAAAAGGAGAATATTTGAGGACCACGAGGCTCCTTACAATGGAGGAACTCCAAGAAGCAATGGCAGGCACAGCTCAGAATGCTGCTAGGTAAGTGTTTGATTTCGTATGTGCTGAGTGTTTCATTTTGTAAATAACACATTAAACATTTGGTTATTAAATAGAACTTGGAGAAAGAGAAAAGAAGAAACTTGATTTCTTAGCTTGTCATGTTAAAGGCTTACAAAAGCTAGGGACTCTGATAATAATGACATGAGTAATCAAGTTCTTGTAATGTGTTCATTTTAATGAGAATTGATGTTGGCAAGGTATTAGAGAGTCTTTGACTGATTAGTTCTGTTCTGTGACTACACTAGTTGAGCTATGTGCTCTCTTTCAAGTGGGTTTAAGTCACAGAACGTGTACTGTCATTTGCCAGCTTCTAAAGGTTTTTTTTTTTTCAGGTCTCAGGCTCTCTCATATCAGACTCTCTCAAAGCTCAGACCCTCTCAAAGCTCAGGTCGTTTGCCAGCTTCTAAAGGTATGATGTTTGATAGGTTTCTTTACTCTCTTTAGTAAGGTTTGTTTCCTGAGTTACTTCACTTTAACATGCATTAGTTTGTAATTTTCTATGTGATTTGTCTTTCTAGTGTAAAGTTGAGTCTGATGCTCTGGTTCGTGTTTATATGCTAGTCAAGTTGTGTTCCATACTGGTGTGGAGTGGCGTGTNAGCTTCTAAAGGTATGATGTTTGATAGGTTTCTTTACTCTCTTTAGTAAGGTTTGTTTCCTGAGTTACTTCACTTTAACATGCATTAGTTTGTAATTTTCTATGTGATTTGTCTTTCTAGTGTAAAGTTGAGTCTGATGCTCTGGTTCGTGTTTATATGCTAGTCAAGTTGTGTTCCATACTGGTGTGGAGTGGCGTGTGAGGAGTTTGTACATCTTTTCTCCTTGGTATATGTACTTTGAAATTAAGCTTTCATTTACTTACTTTCTTTATGCATTACTAGCTACTGTTAGTAAATGAACTCACTTTTCATCCACTTGTTTTGTCTGTTGCAGAACTAGGATATGTTATGATACTCTTTGTATGGATGCATTCGTTTCTGTTTCAGTTCCCGAAATTGTTCCCTTTGTTTTTGTTTCTTCTTCATTAATAAGAACTCCAGACTTGTTTAATTGTTTACAGCTTTTATGCATTCAAGTGCAACGTGCTTCGTTGAATATGTGTTCTAATCCGAGTTTTATGAATATAGGGACATATCAAGAAACGATATTGGCATGTATAGGCTTGTGACAGTGGTGGAACATATTTGTATGACCGGAAGCGGATACTGTTTATAGAAGTGCAAGAGTATCATCACAAGAGGAGGAAGAAGAAGAAGATTGTGAGGAATTAAGGATTCTCATGTAGTTTTAACACTCGCTTAGTACTTTCATTAATTTTTATTGAAAAATAAGATGAGAAAGTGTACTAAAAATAAAAGTTGAGTTTTCATACAAACTAGTAATTATTTTTTTTTTAAATAGAAAACACAAATATTTGATTTTTCTACATGTATACAAAGTACAAACTTTGTAGAAGTTTATGTAAACAATATTTCTTCAAGACTTGAAGTATTATTTAGCTTTTGTTTTGTCATAAATATTTTGATATATTATTTTTGTTTTTATTTAGCTTATAATTTATGATAAAAAATGTTGTTAAATTTATTACCAATTAAATATAATATTTTGACAGATGTAATTTAAACTATATTTTATTTGATTAAGATAAACTTTGACAAATTAAAACTATATTTTATTTATTTAAAATACAATTTTACAAATTTTTAAATTAAATTAAATGAAAATAACCGCTGCGTCTGTCAAACGAACGGCATAAATCATCTTCTTGCGTCTGCGTCCAGCGTCAATGACTTGAGTCTGAGATTGAGTATGGGGCTGCAAAACGAACAACAACCAAACAGATAGACGCAGCCACAGAAAGCTGCGACGACCAAACGAACATCATTTTATCCAAACTCATGGGCATTTGGTTATTTGAATTAAAAATGAAGATATTCTACCTAATCATCATTAAAGATATTGTCTGTTTTAACTAGGGTTGCGACTTTTTAACCGGATCCGAATAACGAACCGGATCCGACCCGAAATGGATCGGTTTCGGATTCAACATATTTAATCGATGGGTACAGCTGTTGATTATCCACGGGTATCGGGTCGGGTTCGGTTTTTATCCGGAACCGAACGGGTACCCGCTTTAAACCGAATTCTATATAAAAATATGTAGAATTGCATCACAACCTGGGTGGCCAAGGCAAAATTACAGCTTCAAAACCACTAGACTACTTCAACATTGATGTACTATCATACTTTTTTTTAATACATATATGTTTTCTATTTATTTTTCCTTTTAAAAAATAAAAAAATAAAAAAAATAAAAAAATAAAATAAAAATAATATATTTCGGGTTTAAAGTTGTATAACGGAACCGACCCGGAATAGGTCAAGATTCGACTCGAAACCGAACTGTAACTCGTCAAGTACTCATTGGATAACCAATTTATCCGAACCCGATCCGAATACCCGAAGTCGCAAGTCAACTTTTTACAAGAGAAATTGAAAAGAAAAAATCATTATTCTCTTTTTCACTAAAAAAAAAGAGAGGATAGTTTTGTCTTTTCATCCTGTCTCACACGGTAATAAAAATCAGATTAGGGCTTTGTGAGCTACAAGCTTCCTCTCCAAAGTAGACGATGGTGAGGAGAGGTGTGGGCGGAGGAAGTATAAGGAGAGATTTGAAAAAAGCAATGGATTCGTGCGGGAAGGATTTATCTACTGTGGAGGAAATCGTGGACGACCTCCGTTCCAGGAACGGTAAATATGCGAGGATGAAACGTCAAGGACTTGCCGACAACGTCAGACATGTCCTTAATGCCCGAAACAAGAACAACAAGCGTGCGAAAGAGGAAGAGGAAGACGATTCTGATGGTAAGATGAAGAAACAGAGACGTCTAGAAGAAGACAAGTCAGTTTCTTCTTCTTCTTCTTCTTGGTCGGACGACAGTGGCGGCCATATCTCGGACGCTATAAACAGCGAGAAGGTGAGTCCAATGGTTAATATGATGAATGAAAGCTTGAGAAATAAGTACGCTAAGATGAATAGCCCCTCCGCCAAGAAACCAATTGTTGCTGAGAAGAATGTCCAAGTTACCACCGACAAAGGAATGACTAGAGTAGGACCTACTTTTAAAGACTTTGGTGGGATTGAAAATGTGTTGGAAGATTTGCGTGACTATATTCTGTCCCCTCTCCTCAACCCTCAACCGTATGACAAGATTGGAGTGAAGCCACCAAGCGGGATTCTATTCCATGGACCACCTGGCTGTGGAAAGACTCGGTTGGCCAATGCCGTCGCCAACGAAGCTGGTGTTCCCTTTTATCAGATTTCAGCCACAGATGTTGTTTCTGGTAACCTTTTTTATTATTGTTTAATGTGTGTATGTATCTCTTCTTCTCACAGTATTTATCTCTCTCTCTCTCTATCAGGTACGTCTGAAAACAATATTAGAGAGATCTTCTCTAAAGCATACAGGACTGCGCCTTGTATTGTGTTTATTGATGAGATTGATGCAATTGGATCCAAGAGAGAGAACCAGCAAAGGGAGGTGGATAAGCGGATAGTAACACAACTATTGACTTGTATGGATGGGCCTCCTCCCGGGGGAGATACTGGTGGTGGATATGTTATTGTCATTGGAGCTACTAATATGCCTGATGCTCTTGATCCTGCTCTGAGAAGGGGTAAGCGATTTGGGCGTGAGATTGCTCTAAAAGCTCCTGATGCAGCTGCCAGGGCTGAGATACTCTCCCTCGTAGCACATAGACTTAGACTTGAAGGTTCCTTTGACATGAAAACAATCGCTGGCTTAACACCAGGTTTTGTTGGAGCTGATTTGGAGGAGTTAGCCGACATGGCTGGCAGTATTTGCATAAATAGGATCATGGATTCAAGAAAACTGCTACTGTCCGGTGGTGACAGTGATGATGATAGATCTTGGCTGAGGCAGCCCTGGTCAGAGGAAGAGTTGGAAAAGCTCTTTGTCACAATGTCTGATTTTGAGGAAGCGGCCAAGTTAGTTAAGGGGTCTTTAACTCGAGAAGGTTTCTCTACCGTGCCTGATGTCACATGGGGTGATGTTGGTGGACTTGGTCACCAACGGGGTGAACTCAACGATTACATAGTCAGGCCTATCAAATATCCAGAGGTGTTTGAGGTAGTGTCCTTGCCACTGTTACCTAGTCTTGTTCCCTTAGTGTCTGAATCTTCTTTTTTTTTTTTTAGAAATTTGGAACGAAGTTAGAGACAGGTTTCTTGCTCTATGGACCACCGGGTTGTGGAAAGACTTTGGTTGCAAAGGCAGTTGCAAACGAGGCAGGAGCTAATTTCATACACATCAAGGTTTTGACTTTTTTTTCTGGAATTTTTTGCTTTGCATATGAAAATGATGGGCCTTACTCGTTAGTATCGTGTTGGGCTTTCAGGGTCCAGAACCTCTAAGTAAATACGTTGGAGAAAGCGAGCGTGCTATTCGGACCTTGTTTCAGCGTGCCCGGGCAAGCTCACCGTGTGTAATCTTCTTTGATGAGGTTTGTGTTTCACTTAATCCTAGTCTTGAAACTATTCATGTGTAAGTAAGTAACCTTGTGGAATTTCAGGTGGATGCTTTGACAACAAGGCGTGGCAGAGAAGGTGATTTGGTTGTTGGTGGTCTTAAGAACCAGTTTCTCGCTGAACTGGACGGTGGAGATAGACGTAACGTTTATGTCATCGGAGCTACGAACAGGCCAGATGTGATGGATCCTGCTTTCTTGAGACCAGGTAGGTTTGGGAGTCTTGTGTACGTACCCCTCCCTAACGCGGATGAGCGTGTTTCGATTCTAAAATCTATTGCAAAGAAGAGACCCATACATCCTAGTGTTGATCTGGATGCCATTGCAAACAAGTACTGTCAAGGTTTCAGCGGAGCTGATCTCGCTAACCTGGTAATCTTTTTTNGGATCCTGCTTTCTTGAGACCAGGTAGGTTTGGGAGTCTTGTGTACGTACCCCTCCCTAACGCGGATGAGCGTGTTTCGATTCTAAAATCTATTGCAAAGAAGAGACCCATACATCCTAGTGTTGATCTGGATGCCATTGCAAACAAGTACTGTCAAGGTTTCAGCGGAGCTGATCTCGCTAACCTGGTAATCTTTTTTTTTTTGTCTTTTTTGATACATAAGACTCACATGTTCTGTATTGTGATGGTTGGTTTGAATTTTGATGAAATGGAAGATGGACAAAGCTATAAACGAGGCAACGAAGGAGAAGTTCGTAGATATGGATTTAAGTGATTGCACCATCAAGATGACTCATTTCAAGCAAGCTTTGTCCTTAGTCACACCATCTGTCAGCAAAAAGGTAATAATATTAATCCTCTCTGACTTTGACAAGCTCAATATTTTCAACCCGTCTCTCGTTTAACTGTAAAAAAAATGAATCTTGTTTTTTTTGGTGCTTTGTGCAGCAAATAAAACACTACGAGAAACTACGGAAGAAGCTACAAAGCAGCACCTGAAGAACACAACATGGACCAAATCAACCTAGGACCCCTCGAGTGATTTTAAAGAAAATACAACTCTCTTTATTTATAAATGTTTGCAAAAATCGAGGGAGTTGCCATATGCTTTTTTTCTTTTCCTTTATTTTTTTCCAATTTGAGACATTTAATCAAAGAGGCCTAAGTTTTAATTCAAATTTGAAATCTTATGTTATTATCTGTAGTATTTAGGATTGTTTGAAGTCAGTTTGTTTGTGTCGTGGTTGAGACCAAGTTTCTATGTCTAGAAGTCTGATGGATGGTTGTTTGTTTTAATTACGATAAGTAGCGTTAGTAATAGATTTTTGTCAAGCAATTCTCTTATTTTGGACATTTAATTATACATCCATATGTTCCATAAATCTTATTTGTTTCCAATTCATTTAATTTTGTGGATTATAATTGTTGCTGTATAAATAGTAAATGATTTATTTTTTTGTTAATGTTAACGTCTTATGGGTTTGTAAGCAAAATTTTCAAACCAAAGCATTCGATAATTTGTATAATATGGCGATTACTATTTTTTGAGTATTTTTTGTGTTTATATTTCAAAATAACATTAGATGATATGATATACTTTGCTTGTTCAGTAATTTGTGCCTAGTTTATCTAGAAAGAAGAATTGTTTCATGGAAAATGACACAAACATGAATACATATTTTCAATCATTTGGATTACATATGTTTTAGTGGAGAATGATTTTTTTGTTATTACTGCAGGTATTGTATATTTTAATGAAGCAGAATAGTAAATTATCAACTTTTAAACTTTAGTAAATCTTTATTAACCTTTAAAATAATTATACTTAATTATTTGTTAAAATATAATTAATTATAAACTAAAAACGAATTTCATTGATTTGATTATTATATTTATTAAAAAGTTTATATTGTATTATTAAAAAAATATTTCACATCATAGTTTATATTAAAAAAAATCCCTACATATAGATTTTGTATATAACTTTATCTATACATGAGTGTTTTCAAGTTTATTTTATGCAATAAAAATAACTTTATTATTTTGAATACTTTTCATATCTTAAAAATTGATCCTTAATTTATTATTAAATATTTCAAACGTATGAATTTTTTTAAGTTTATTTTATGCAATTAAAATATTTATGTTATGATGAAAATTTTGTTAATGGAAAAAAATTATTTAATTATCTATACTGTTATTTGTGAAGTAATTTTTTGCATTAAAAGCTAACCTTAATGAATAATTAAATTAGTTGAAATGAATTTCAGTGATTTAGTAATAGCTATTATATAAAAAAATTTATTGTGTGCTATCAAAAATATAATTTTACATCATAATTTTTTAAAAAGGTAAATTTTTCTGTATATTCAGATATTCAGATAGGTTTCCGTGTTAGTTCGAGGTGAAACAGATAGTAGCAAAACCAAACTCGCTGATAGGACGCCTTAACGCTGTGGAGACCAAACGTAGGGATGCAGAGATTTTATTCCTTAGTATATTTTTTTAATATTCATTTTTAGTTAGAAGAGTTTAGTTTATATTATGTGGCTATTACTATTTTTATGAATGATTTTTTTTTGTTTTTACCTTCTTTTTTTTTGTTGCAATTGGACTTATTTGTGTTGAAAAGAATTAATTTTAGTTTGGCATAATGTAATATTTTATAATACGAAGGTTTGAATCGGGTCATGTCATATTTTTAACTATGTGTGGTGTGAATATTTTAATATGTTTCTTTTTTTATTTAATTATCTAATTATTTGTATTTAAATGAGTTTTTAAACCCAAATATTAATACAAAATATTAATTAAAATAAAGTGTCATATGGCATTTTTTTCCCTAAGTGGAGAAACACTACTCTACTTTATTGTATTAGATATTACACAGAGAGGATATAGAGGGAGATGAAGAGCTGAGCAACATACCAATATGTTTGGCTCTTGAATGTACCCATGATGAGTCTGTTAAACTGTAAAAATTTAACAATGTTGTGCTTACGTGAGAACATTGAAAGGATCACCAAAAGTTCAATGCACTCACGCTAAAAAGTATCATTTTCTGTAGCAAAAAAAAAGTGTCAATATTATTTAAAAATTATTTTGATTAAATAAAAATATCATTAAGTAAAATTCATTTAACCAATAAAAAACGTACAATATTATGTAACTGATCACAAATGTTAACAACATTAAAAATCTATTAGTACTTCTTACAGCTTCTCTTTACATCATATTGCTAATAGAAGGTTAGATGTGAATCTTGATGTTTGTTTTTTAACGCTGCATCCATTTTTCATCAAAGGGAGGTGGTGGACACCAAGTTCAGCGATCATATTTGGTGCTCTTACAAGAAGAAAAAAAAATACGGGAACATAAACGCTCAAAGAGTACCAGTAGGTACCATAGCTAAAAGCATGAGAAAGTTAAAGACGGCGGTTTAATGTTTTTGAATTAATTGTAGCTAGCTTCTTCTAATCTCCTGTATCTTGTTCTTGACTAAGCTAGCATTTATAGTTCTTACACAAGAGATCTAATGCATTAATAAAGGAAACATACGAAATAAGTCTCTTATACTTCTTCAAGCAGTTAATTCGAATAATTTTTTTCTCAAAAAAAAATCGAATATGTTCAGCAATGGTAACGGGCATCCGTTAGATTCAAACATTAGCATGTATGATATCGATGGTTTCATAACATACATATAATCAATTTATTTCTGATGATGTTAATTGAAGTAAAAGAAAATGCACCTGTTAAATACATCATTTACACAAATCAAATTTGGAAAAATTGACTTTTTAATCCTGAACTTTCCAAAATAAGCCAAAAAAACATTCAACTCCAAAACAAGCCATTTAAATCACGAATTTCTGGTCAAACACAATAAAACCATAAACTTTCGTTGACGAAACCCTTTTAACCTTCTAATTAATTATCCGTTAAATGGCTATTAACAGATGTTTAATTTTTAAACGATGTCGTTTTGTCAAAACGAGAAAACCCTAATCTAAACTCGAAAATCTCCAATTCAACTTTTTAAATCCTTAGTTCTTCATCTCTCGTTTCTCAATTCCTCTCCTAAAAAAACACAAACTCATAACTTGTTTCCTTTGTATCTCTCTCTCTAGCATCATGAACCGTGGGTTTCCTTCAAATTGTGGCTGTGGAGCAGGGATCACAAAGTTCACATTAAGCACCCAAGAGAATCCCGAACGCCCCTTCTTCTGTTGTGAAACCAGAGGAGAGGTAATGTGATTTGTTTGTTTAGTGTCTTTGATATATATTGTGAGCAGATGCCATAATGTGACTTTGATTTTTCATCATTTTAAAGGATCACTTGTTCAAATGGATAGAAGAAGCTGTACTTGAAGAGGTTCAAGATGCATTGCCTAAAATACAAGTCCATGAAATGAGATTGCAAAGATGAAAACCGAGATTGAAGATGTGATGGAGGTTGCTTTGAACAACAAAACCGAAATGGAGAAGAACAAAGTTATAATCAAAGGTCTTGTGGTGTATGATGTCTTTGTAAAAAAAGATTTTAAAAAAAAGATTACCGAAAGGTAAAAAAAGATTTTAAACTCACACATGTCATCACCTTAAAAAATTAGTTAGTGACATGACAAATTCACATGAAAGAAAATTTTACTTTATACTAGCAGCATTTCAAATTAACTAAGTATTGCACAAAAAAAAAATCAACTTAAAAAAAAAAATCAATTTATGAATCGATTGGATACTACATGTCATACTATAAGCTTACAACAAATAAGAACTCAACGCCAACTTGAGACCTCTTTAGTTTTGTAAATAAACATGTGCTTACGTGGGATGATGTCTTGTGTTTCAAGGCTTATCTCCAGTTAATAAAAGACTCGCAAACCTTTGTGATAGACTTCTCTCAATGGCGGAGTTAGTCTTCAATGAACATCTTGCACTGTATTCGGATCCGATTCTTTTCATGTATAGCGAAGAATAAGAGTATTGACTTCCTGATACTTCACAATCATCTTCTTTAGATGTTTTTTCTCTTTAAGCCTAGAACATTTTCTTAACCCGTGTGGCAGCGGCGATAATCCTTGTGATGCTCATCTAACAACAGCAGCAGAAGAATAATAAGGTAATAAAAAACTATGTCTAGAAATCTCAAAACCTCTTAGATTATAAAAACCAAACTATGTCTAGAAAGAGGATCTTCATTAAGGCATGATTCAGGTTCTGTGTCACCACAGTTCCAGGACAAGGTAATTGTTCTTTCTCGGTCCTAGAATGCTGAGAATCGATAACAAAAGGATTGGTCTTTTTTTCTATTGTTTACCGTGTTGAGAAAGCAAGCTTTTTCTCTTTTGTTCCAAACCTGTACATATATGCTCAACAAACTCATCGACGAGGACAGGCGCCCAAGCACCTGACTTGAGTCTAAACAGATATACAAACACACTTGTTTTGTACTTTGGGAGTCATATCCTTCTAGATTCTCATGTACACAACGACGCAAGGGGGATTAGCACAAGGCAAGTAGATCGTATGGTAACCATAAACCGTTGCGCAATAACCTTGCTTCAAACATGTTCTGGACTAGACTTAAGAGCTGAGCCAATGCCTTCTTTAAGATAGTTAGTTCTTTGTGATTCCTCGTATGGTTTTATAAACATTACATAGACCTTGACTATAAGTCATGGGGTAGGGTAATCCGAGCCTAAATCTTATCCAAAATGGACCAAGAAGGAACATGTTATGTCAATTTTTTTTTGTGAAAGTACTACAAAAGTTATTAAGGACCCTACTCAAGAATGTTGATTCATTTTCTATCATACCAAGCCCTTACCAGTATAACATTTCCATTACTATAAAAGATGGATGAAAATCTAGATGTAGTTCTATGTTGGCTTTAGATATGGCAGGCCTTAAATAATGTTAAGACCAAGTTGTGTATCTATTGAGTTCTTTATTCTCTACCTAGTCAGTATGAATTCCTTCGAGATACCCTAAAGCGTGGGACAGGAAGGGAGACCTTGACCATGAATTAGGCTAGAATAGTCCAACATTCTCAAAAGAGTTTTCTTTTGCTTGAAAGCCTGGAGGAAAAAAAAAATAGTTAATGACAACATTGGACATATTGAGATAGTAAACCCAAATGTTTTTTTTTTTTTTTTTTAATGCCAACAGAATCTTTATATCAGTTGATTACATTCATATGCCTATTGTTGTAACCACAAGATAAAGAGATGAATGTTTATAAGAAAACTCTTCTTATTAGCTTAAGAAAATAACTCAAAACTTAAGCTCTCACAAATCAATCTATAAATTTCACAAGTTATGCAATATGTTTGCATCTTCTTATATAGAGATATGATATTCATTTTCTCAATAAACTTAACTTATATATATATATATATATAACTCTTAGATAAGATAACTTTTCTATTTCAAATAAGTTTAGGTTAGCTCGGAGTCAAGCTATCTTCAATATTATTCTCAACAAGTCCCCTGTAATCTTGAAGTCATTATTCTTCACATCTTGAATTCCGACAAGTTCCCTCATCTCCTTGTACTTGATTCTTCCTAAGGTTTTTGTTAATATGTCGGCCTTTTGTAAGCTTCCTGTGATATGCTCCACCTCCACTTGTTCATTGTCTACACATTCTCTAATGAAATGATATCGTTTGTGTATATGCTTACTTCGATCGTGAAACACTGGGTTCTTCGTGAGAGAAATTGCAGACTTGTTATCTAATCTGTTCACCAATTTCTCACTTGCTTTCTCGAGTACTCAGCTAGGAGTTTTTGTAACCATATGGCTTGTTTAGAGCTTCGGTGGCGGCCATGAATTCCGCTTCACATGAAGAGAGAGCAACAATTTCTTTCTTATATGAGCACCATGTGATAAGACAATCGTTTCGATAGAACAAGTGGCCAGTTGTACTCCTTCCATCATTGATATTCCTCGTTGTGTGAACTATCAGAATAGCCTATCAACTCTGATTGGTTTGTTTTTAAGAACATGAGACCATATGAGAATGTCCCTTTTAGGTACCTCAAAATCTGCTTCAAAGCTGCCTAATGACTCTCCTTTGGTTCATGCATATATCTATTAAGAACACCGACTGAGTATGACAGGTCTGGCCGAGTGTGGAGAAGGTATCGTAAGCAGCCTATAACTCTTATATCTACCTAGATAATGATGTATTTAGTTCCTAGTCTTTATCTACTTTGGATAATATCTTTGTATAAATAAGGGGCTCTTGCCTTCATAATGGAACAACACAAATTACTACTTGGTTTCATTCTCATACGATTTCATGGTATCCGAGCAAACAATCTTAAAACCTTATTTTTTTCTCTAAAATCGTTTTCCTTCACCTGCAAGTAACATATGACAGAAACTACAGCTTCCGCAACTAATACGTCTCTGACGTCTCTACCTACTATTATTTCTACTGAGTCTTCCGGTTTATACTTACTGAGATATAATATTCCTTTTCTCAATAAACTTAACTTATCTATATAACTCTTAGATAAAATAACTTTCCTATTTCAAATAAGTTTAGATTAGTTTTTGGAAATCAAGTTATCTTCGAAATTATTCTCAACAGTGCCCAGTCAAATTAAGATGGGATTAACACTACATTATAAATAAAAGAATTCTAAAGTAAATTCAAAGTCTTGTTTCAAGTTTGATGTTATAGAGAGAGGATACTTCCTAAGTGTACAAAAAGTCTAGTTGTTTAACAGGATTATATTCAACCAAACCAATGAAGACCAAAAGACTCATGTTTACACATTATTTGAAGAAACTTCCTCTTTTCAATTTCTTTCCAGACACGGACTGTCTTTTGTCTCTACATGCACTACCCACTTTCCTCTCTCCTGCCTCCCTATCACGTATATGGCCATGTTCGTTTGTACATCTAAAGATGCATCCATATGGTTCATCCAGATGCTCTATCCAAATGCTCCATCTAGATGTTGTTCGTTTCTCTATTTCGTCAATATATCTAGATGAATCATCTGAATGTAACTATGTTCGTTTGTTTTCTTTTTCAACTTGCATCTGCATCTAGATGAATTTGTCAATAAAATGAGTAAAATAACTTGCGTTTATATTTTTGGCGGAAAAACGCATTTTTACGATTTTGATGAAAAAATCGTTTTTCCAGTTTTGGCGGAAAAATTAACGTTTACGATTTTGACAGGAAAATACGTTTTTACAGTTTTAGCGGAAAGACGCATTTTTGCGGTTTTGGCGGAAAAACGCGTTTTTACGGTTTTGGCGGGAAAATACGTTTTTGCAGTTTTGACGGGAATACATTTTTACGATTTTGTCGGGAAAACGTGCTTTTGCGGTTTTGGCAGGGAAACGCATTTTTGCAATTTTGGCAAAAAATATATTTTTGCGGTTTTGGTAGAAAATGCGTTTTTACGGTTTTGGCGAGAAAACACGTTTTTTGCGGTTTTGGCAGGAAAATGCGTTTTTACGGTTTTAGCGGAAAAATGCGTTTTCTTGCGGTTTTGGCGGGAAAACACGTTTTTACGGTTTTGGCAGAAAAATGCGTTTTTGCAATTTTGGCGGAAAAATACATTTTTACGGTTTTGGCGAGAAAACGCGTTTTGTGATTTTGGGAGGAAAACGCGTTCGGTTTTGGCGGGAAAATGCGATTTTGACGGGAAAATGTATTTTTGCGGTTTAGCGGGAATGTTTATTTTTGGCGGGAAAGTGTATTTTTGCGATTTTGACGGGAAATGCGTTTTTTGGTTTTTAACGGTCTGGTGAAAAAATCTTTTTTTTTTGTTTTTATGGAAAAATGTATTTGCATTATTGTTGGTTTGAAAAATTATATTTATTTTTAAAGGTTATTTTTGTCATTTATCATTTAGACTGAACTAGATGCATCTGTATCCAGATGCGACTCACCCTCATTTGGGTGAGAATTTGAGATGAGTTTTAAAAAATTCAGTTGGATGATCCATTTGGATGTAACATTTTAATGTACAAAACCAACATCAATTTGCATCTTCACCCAGATAGATCACTTGGGTGAGCAAACGAACAGCACCTATATATATATAATATGTGTTTCATCCATCCATACAAGCAAATTCTATATCTTCAACATCACCTCTAAGACACTTCTTTCTGAATCATCTCATTGCATTCATTCATTGATACACAACCATGGAGAAGAGTTTCTTGTCTGAATGCAAACAGTCTTCTTCTCTCACTTTATTAGCTCTCTTTAACTTGTTCCTGATCGGGTTTCTTCTGCTCTCGCATCTTTTTTATCCAGATTATTTCCTCTTCTTCAACACCATCAACGTGTGAGGAACCAAGATGAGAGTATGATCACAAACACAGAACAGCAAGAAGAAAACGAAGAGGATTATCTTAGTAGAGAAGACGTAGAGATGGTTATGAGAAGTTTAGGACTAATTCTCCCGACCAAGAAAGCGATGAGCTTCAAGAACACTAGAGTTCCAAGGAGGTTTCAAGTTTGTTCTAAAGAAACGAAGTCAGCTTGGAGGAAGTGAAGCAAGTTCGATGAAAACAGAGATGGCTTCATCGAAGCTAAGAGTTTTGACAATCTTAGGTTTCAAAGAAAGAAGCGTCTTATCTAGAGAATTGTTCGGCTATGATCAGATCATTAAATGAAAACAAAGAAGAAAGAAATCGAATTTTAACAGATTTGTTAAACTCATTGAGAATAATAATAGCTTCTGATAATTCTTTAGTTTCCTTAAACATAATCTTTGCTTCTTAATTCTTAAACACTTATGCCAGATAGATATTTCATCATACAGTGAAACCTCTATAAATTAATAATGTTGGGACTATACCAAAATTTTATTTTTTTATTAATTTAAAGAGATATTAATTTATAGATATACTAATTGAACCAAAACCTCATTTTGGGACTATAAAATTATATTAATTTATAGAGATACTTAGTGTATATTAATTTATCGAGTATTAATTTATAGAGGTTCTACTGTATATAGATTGGAGACTTTTCAGTAATTACAGAATTTTCAATTTAAACTCATAAAGATAACCCTCCAAACAAGCAAGCGGATCACTCTGGGGCATTGAATGATGGAACTAATTAATGTCCCCACCATTGTCATGGGAATGTCAGGGTAAAGACTAAAGACAAGATCCGCATCCTTTCCTCGTACCTTAATGCTCAAAATGTTAAACTCCCGGAGAATCTCTCATTACAGGAAGTCTTCTCAGCTTCTTGGAGCTTGAACATGTTGTAAACTTGTAAAGAACACCTAATACATGTAACCGAAAGATTCACTGGAGGTGGAACGGTGATTGTTGACGAGAGTACTCTCTTTGTGAGCTTGATTTGCAACAAGGACAATGTTCCTAAAGTACAGCCTTACCCTCGTTCGTTTTATGGTGAAGGGTGTTAATGATGGTTTCCAGCTACAATGTGTGTGAAAGTGTGGTTTTAGATAGTTACCTCTTTCTTATATTCTTCATCGACTATAAAAAATATATGTTTTTGGTGACCGTAAGTTTGGTGGAAATGCTCAGTCAATAATTAGGAGTAGAGATGGATACATCGTTTCTATGGATTACAATGTGCGAAACATGGCTTACCTTAAACTGCCTTCCAGAGTGCCAACAGTACTGGTTGGTATGGTCCTTGTTTCATCTTCATCTAATTGTTTACTTTTGGTCCAAAAATTCAATTGCAATTGTTTGGTACGTTGTAGGAAAGAGATCACACAGATTTTGTGTGTAGAATGAAGGATTACATTGCAAGATTAGATTTCTTTGAGAAGACAATTATAAGGCTGTGGGAAACCAATTCACATTGAATCAAGTGAACCTTGAAGATATTGATTCCTACTCAAAAGGAGAACATTTGAAGACCACGAGGCTCCTTACAATGGAGGAACTCGAAGAAGCATTGGCAGTCACATCTCAGAATGCTGTTGGTTAACGTCTCCATTCTTATAATTCAATTCATGGTCTAAAACTCATTTTGTAATATGTTATTCAACATTTGGTTAATAAAAATAGAACATGGAGAAAGAGAATAGAAGACACTTGATTTCTTAGCTTGTCATGTTAAAGGCTTACAAAAGCTAGGGACTCTGATAATAATGACATGAGTAATCAAGTTCTTGATTAGCTCCCAGTCTTTTTGTTTTCTCTAAATGGTTGGGGTTTTGGTGGCCAACCCCAAGAAAATCTATAAAAGCTGGAGGTTTGGTGGTCTGAAAATATTTGGACACCATTGTATGTTCTGCAGATGATGATGATGGTTCCTGGATGGAGACATGCAGTGTCAGTGCCTAGGAATCTGCAGGGAAGGTTGAGTAGTGATGATGCGGGCCCTGCATTGGCATGCGCGAAGAACAACACTCTTCTTGGAGGTACTCAACTTTCAGGTTAGTTGTATACTCTTTTCGCGTCTTCCAGCTGTTATTTTCCAATATCATATCTTCATCATCTACAATACCTGCAAAACACATAGAAACCATAAAAGCATCACTAGCATTAATTGGATCCATATTAACTCTGATGATAATGGAAACCACATTGAATGTATACTAGATAGAGTAAGAAGACGCTACTTACCAGGAGGGAGAGTGAAGCTTTGTGATCTGAAGTAGGATTATAGGAAGACTCATTGATTGCTGCCTCAACTTTCTTTCCATGAGCACATGCCAGTGATTCTTTAAAGCATTGTCTCTTCTTCCATCGAAAAGCTTAGCAATCATAGTCCATTTGTTACCAAATGCTCTGTGAGCTGCAAGTAGCCTCTCTTCTTCCTCAACGCTGAATCTAGCTTGTTAAACCACCTCAATCTGCAACTCTTGCCTTTAGCAAATCAAGAAGAAACACACATTTTTAGTTCACTTTCTCCGGAAATAGCAGAGGAAATATATTTTTTTTTAACCTGTTCTTCCTTGCATCTTCTCTACAATGTAGTTCCAGTTTTTAGGACCATAAAGGGCAACATGGTCCATGAGCTAAGAATCCTCAGAGATTCTCCAATGTCCTCTATTAGTCTATTACAAACCCTAGAACCTCTCTGCTTCTTCTTGAGTTCATTACTCTCCTTCAACATGCTTCTTTTATCAGACAACTCCACTGCATTGTTTTCTCCAAAGCCATTAAATGATCCTCTGAATGAAGATGAAAAGGGTATTCTTGAAACAAGAAAAATCCATCTAGCTCTTTCCTTGGTCTCATACATTCACACACACAGATAATATATACATGGAGATAAAGCATGTGATGTTTGGAGCCGGTGATGGTTAAGTTATCCGTTATCGTATGCAATCTTTTTGATTGCCAAAAATGGAAACCTGAGGAGAGATGAGAAAATATGTGAAAATGGTTGCTCTGTTAAGAACAGTTTCAGTCCTCTGACATCATGTTTTCAAAAAACTCGTTTGAATATTTGTCACCTTTTATTCTTCTCCCCACTCTTTCTAAAATATACCATTTCCTTATATATGTATGAATGTATGTCTCTTCAATAATACATAATAAAACAGAGAAGAAACATATTAAACAAAATATACTAAAAGAAAAATATAATTACATATAACAAGACTTATTTTTTTTTTTAATTTTAACCAAGTTTATATAATTAAATTGTATAACTAAAATTTTAAGATAAAAATAACTAAAATACTCAATGTTTCTATGCCATAATCCAACAAAAATAAATTTTACTATTTTAAAAATGCATTCAAACTATAATCTCCAATAATCTAATTACTCTAATTAATGTTACAATTTAGAATTCTACATTTGTGTATTACTTATCATACCTTCATTAAGCCCATGTTTTAAACCTTACTTATAATTCAAGTTCTGATAAGTATATAATGCCTGTAGATGATGCACTTGATCTTTAATTTTCTTTTACTTGCCCTAAGCGGATGTTTCTTTATTTTGTATGGTAGCACGACACTGTATAAGACCAAATATAAGCATAACCTTTTCCAAATGCAAATCATATGTAACGTGTATGTGTGTGTATTTTTGTAATGCATATGCAACCTCTAATCATTATTCAAGGAATTGCAACACAAGTAGTGCTTAAGCTCATAGAGGCAAAAACATGATTCAAGAAGAAAAAAACATAATATTATCCTTTAAGATTCGAATAAGTCCCACTACACCAAGACATGCTTAAACTGTTTTTATAGAATCATAAGAATTCATATAATACATGTTGAATCATAGATAAATTCATATAATTCATGCTGAATCTTTATAAGAACGCCTAGAGTTTTCAAGGAAACGTTTTAAAGCACCATTAGACTTCATTTAGCACTTCCACTGTTCCACAACTGTAGTTTTTGAGTTTTCACACACTTTAAAGAAAAAGTTGTACTAAAAGTTCTTAAATAAAATAATTCTAATTTAATATATAGTCTTAAATTTATGAAACAAAAAATATATCAAATCTGTTATCATTTTTTTGTGCACAATTTTTTTATCTTTATAGTAACATTTTTCAGCGTTTTTGATGGATTAGAAGAAATGTCGGCCAATCGTAAGGAATTAACTAGCGATTTAGATAAATCAAAAATTTAAGCACGACTGATTAATTTTGAGAGTCTTAAAAATAAATTTAGACATTAGATAGTAGTATGACTTTTCAGTTAAATTAATGTATTGTTTGCAATTTTCCATTTAATAATAAAATGAAACCACTTTTAAAACACATCTTAAGAACATGAAAGGCAACCAAATTAGTAACACGTTCATTTATTTTGATAAGAAAAATCACTTCTTATATATAAAAAACGAGAATTATATACTTCTCTCTCGTTCACATACATTTAGCCTCATATCACTATCAGTCCAAATTTCAATTGGTTACCTCAAAAAAAGTCACCTACTTGGAACTGGAATTACAAAAAAAAAAAAAAAAACAAAGCAAACCAAACCAGTGTAGAATATAAATCATTTAATAATTATACTAGTTAATACCGAAACTGCCCTCCGGTGTAGGTCTGGCCAAAGGACCAACTAGGAGGAGCAACATTGTATGATACAACACTTCGGCGATCACTTGTGGTCACAACAAACGACAGACTTTGACCGTTGAGATAAGAGTTGCTTTGCCAATTTTGCCCCCAGTTTCTCGACATTAATTGCCATCTTGAACGTGACCCTCTCATCGACACCGAGTGTACGTCCCCGGCTCCACCTACGTTTGTGACCAGCACCAAGTTAAAGTATGAGTGGCCGTTGATCGTGAACCTTATCCCGCCCCTTCTTCTGCACCGAACCCTATAAAAACAATTATTATAGAGGCACCACAAAGTTAAGTATATTAATAAGTTGATAACCAATTTATATTACATTTATCAACTGGTCCAAATGTAGTGAATGCGTATTTATAAGTCTAAATTCTATGGATAATATGTATTCTTTTACGTTGTACAAAAAGAATACTACTTTTGTGTACATTTTTGTGTTTATAAACCATTTTTTAGAACACTACTTTTGTGTTTTATATTTCACAAACTATATATATAGTTGAGTACTACTATGCAATTTCATGACATTAAATAACCCTATTGCGAGGGGTTAATAAATTAATTAGTACCTTCTGTACATAACCGGAATGATACCGGACTTGTAAAGAGCGATATGCTCGTAGATGGGTTGAGAAAGATCGAAATGGTGGTTGGGAGGATCGCATGCGCCACCAGGAGGACAAAAGTTAGTGGCAGTGACCACAATGGACCGGCCTTGTATGCACCACTGAGGATCGTTGACACATTTCAGCTCGAAACAAGCACCACAGCTAAGTCCATTGTCGAATAACGCCGTGCTCAGCGCTGCCGTCTCTGTTCCGTAACCTTGGCCATACAGATTCCCGTACCCACATGCTCCACCTAGTTTTGTCGTTAATTAAGCAAATGGTTATAAACCATATAGTGTCGTGGTTTTTCAAATCCATATTTTACTGAGTGTAAACGCAAACTTAAAGTCAGACAAACATTTGTAAGGTTTTTATTTTGCTTACGTCCGGAGTTTGTGTTTATGTTTTGTTAAAGTTCTTATGACAATTAATGTACACGTTTTTGTTAGAAAACTAGTTTAAAGAATATAAATTGTAACATGTGTACAAAATAGTGTTACATGCATATAACGTCAAAGAGTCGATTTCTCAATGCTCTGTTTGTGTAATATATTTTTGTAGCCGTTGAAATCGTTTGCATGTTACGAGTGGACTAGCTAGCTCTTGGTAACATGAGATTACCCTTTTGTCAGTTAAATTAGAGTGATGCAGGTGAAAATAAGATATTAAGGTACCCATGGTGCCGGAAGCATCACCACCGCCGTAGAAAGTGGCATGAGCGTTGATCCAAGGTCCCCCGTGGCCGCCGGGATGATGACCGCCACGATGGTAGAAGCCTTGAACGCAGACGGAAAATGCTAGGACAGGTAGCAGGAGAGATGAGATTACTAAAACTCCCATGATGAAGCAACTCAACTATAACATGCAAAGGGAGAAAAAAAAGAAGTCAAGTGAAGCTAATGTGTATTTTCTGTCAATGTGGAAGTTTGGTGTGATGAAATTGAGGAAGAAGAAAGTTTGGTATAAATAGGAAGAAGGATTCGGACAAAGTTTTAGCTGTAATAAATCAACCCTGGTCCCTGCAACTGCTTCTTGGTCTTCACCATAATATGTTAATTAATTTTACTTCAATTTTAAGTGTTTACTTTGTATAAAGTAAAACAAAAATCACAAAAAGGATATTGAACCGCGTAAAGATAAAGGAGAGGTGAATGTCACTATAAGAAGAGGTGGATCAAAGAAAATATGCCAAAATGAGTTGGAAACTATCACTCAAAATTAGTCAATGTGATTGTGTTACTGTAACATTACAAGTTTTTTCTTCTTTAAAAGTATAGAAATATTGATCATTTTAAATGTCAGAAAGTCATCATATGGAGACACGATTTGGACAACAGTTTACAACTAATACATTACAACTAATACATTATGCGGGTTCGAGTGTTTGAGACATGCAATATAGAGCCAGTATATTTGCGACAAGCAATTCTACGACACTAGATACATGTGACTAGGTAAATATTTTGTTTTCGACCTCGTTTAAATATCTGGAAAATGGATCTATTCGTGAATTTTATCTCCATTTGAGAATTAATCTGAACTTTTTCATATGTCTAAGATACTCCAAATTCATAAAAAAAATAAAATAAAGCTCAATACATAATTCGTGAAAATTTAATAGTACAAATTTATTTTTGGTCCACTTTGCATGAAATCTACTATTGTTTTAATTTGACGCTTGCATAATAAACTTTGTTACTTTCAAGTCATATTGTTATCTTACAAAGCATCATATCTTTTTTTGCATCATCATATCTTTTTTTGATCTCTATCGAGCACTTATAACTTAAAGTATATATATTGGTAAACAAAATATGCCGTGAAGTATTCATGGCAACATAAAAATATAAATTAGCGAACAAGTTACCCTTTAGAACATTTCATGTGCGATAGACCGAATGATTTTTGCTTTAATAAGGAAACGTACCTGTTATTATTCAAAAACATATCGACAATGAGAGGAGATGGTCAAGAGATACGTTGTTAATGCTCTTTTTTATATATATAAAAAAAAAAGAGATACGTTGTAACTGTTTTTAGCAAAAATGAAATTGTGATGGAAAAATCAAACGGATGGACGTGGACTGCTGAATACGAACCACATGAATATATAAATATTTATATTTAGCATTACAATCTTTCATGACATTTTGAAAGTCTGTTAGAGAATCATATGCATTAACAATAGAACTGCGATGAACTGAAAGCATATAACATACTACAATTTGTGGAAATTATGGATACTGGTTTTGTTTTATTTGGTAAAGTGGATTAACGTAAACAGTGAATGTACTATACGACATGCAGATAATTTTTGCACGTTTACCAGTATGCGAATGAAGTCTTAATCCATACTCAAATTCGGTCGAACACTAGTACCCGTTCTCACATGGAAGAAGCATGGTGGTTGAAATATTGACTTTGACATGACGCTATTTTCAACTAATTATGTCGGTGACAACAAAAATGGTTAAGTTTGTCAGTGTACAGCTTCTAATGGTTGTGTATCCCTAAAATTAGTTACCCTTTTTAAAAATCGGAGTAGATTATCTACCAAAATCAAGATTATTTCCAAAACATGTGAATAGTACGCAAGTTTGCAATTATAAGTTGATAACGCCTATAGTGGCGTCAATCATGGTTTGAAGCTTAATATACAGCTTAGCTTATGAAAGTGATGTGTCCAAGGACCGAAGTCCTTACGATTAGGCACGGACACAGATCAGATAAACAGGTTTTGGAAGATATTTATGATTTATTTCATATGTCAAGAATATCTAATTTTTCGATTTGCTTTTCTTTGGTAAAATATAGATATTCAGAAAAAGGATATTAAAAAAATAAATAGATATTTGTGGATATTTATGAATACTTATAAATATCTCATCTGTTTGAATTAATACAAATAAGTTTAAAATTTTGATACAAATTTGTTTTGTAAAATATTTTGTTTTGCATGATATAAAGGATATAAATTAAAAGAACTAGTGAATCTATATATTTTGCACTTTATTAAACTTAGTTAACAATTATAACAACACAAATTTACGAAAAAAATTATAATTTTCATAATTTTTTTCTCTTCCTTTTATGTAATATTTTTATATAAATAATAATGTGAATAGAATTTGTCAACTCATATGTTAGAATAATAATTATAAAAATTTATACATTTAAAAAGATATACATGTATTTATATATTTTCGGATCGGATCGGATATTCGCTTTCTAAAATTTTAGTATTTGTGATTTGCTTCGCTTTTAGTGAATATTGAGTTTTAATATTTGTTTTACTTCGAAAGTTTACAAATATTTGGAATCTTTAGATCTAATCAAAACAAATAATGAATCGAATCTAATTTAACGGAAAATGTCCAACCCTACTTACGATATGAGAGAAATGAGATTATAAAGACATATATGACCTATTAAAGACACAGATCTAACCTCCGGGTGGAAGTATAGTCTACGGATAGATCCTCTCCTACGCATTCAAATGGATCGAAAATAATAATTTATATCCGTGTGACCAGTGAGGTTTGAATCCGGATTCGCCTTATTAGATTTATTTGGTTTAAAAAAAAGACATGTATGATAATATTTTTATATATTAGTATATTCAGTAAGACAAGGTCTGGTGGAAGTCTGAAACAATGGTTTCAAAAGAAAACAATAAATTTACAACTAAAGTGGCCCAATAACGAATACGCAAAATGATATACGGCTTCTACATTCCATTCGAATTGAATGGTAAGCCGGATTGTTTGACTTGTGTTTTCTTTGATGTGTAGTGTTACTTTCACTTTTAGTTTTAATTTATGTAAGCTATGCTATTTCAAACATTTTGTTAATTATAAGTACATCATACTTTAGTGTGTTGCATTTTCACATCTAATTTATTTTTCTTAGGTAAAACAATTAAGAGGTAAGAACAGGTACACAGCCAAAGTCAACTTTATCCCAACGTGTTGAAGAGTAGAGCCGTGTCTTTTAAAATAAAATAAAAAACATGACTAAAGCATATTTATTTGATATAAAATCGAGGGAAGTTCATATTTACAAGTATTTGGTTTATTTGTATAAAATGCTTTTTTTGTCTTCATATACTTGCATCCTTTCTAATACTCATTTGAAGACTAATCAATGTTATTTGTAAAATTGTTTATTAATATATATTATTGGACAAACCGAGTTTAATTATCAACGACCATTTTGTACTTTTCTCACCTTGTTCATTTCCATTCCCATTTTTATATTATCTTATTATTTCATTTATAATTATTTTGACAAATTTACAAATACATGAAATATTTTATATAAGATATATAGTAATCAGTAATCAAACTACAACTTAACAAACTATTTTTATTAAATGTTAGAATATTATTACTATTATAAACTTTAATAAATCTATATATTTTTTGTTTCATTTACGGCATTAAAATCCGCAAGAACAGGTCTGCTTCTTATCGTGTATATGTGCCTTGTCTCTATGGATGCATATATCATCAATGTTTTCAAATTTATTGCAGCATTTGCCTCAATATTTTTTCCGGGACGATTTTTTAGTAATAATTTAGTGTATGAAGATATATAAATCAAAACATATTCTTACAAGACAGAAAACTAATCCGTAGAAACAGTGACGATTGGATCAGATTAATTCAAGAGTCCCAGCAATTTTCAAATAAAACAAATTTTTAAACAAGATGCTCATATAGATAGGTATATTTGTAACATACATCAACCGAAAGCATAGTTTAAAGTTACTTATATGGAAACATTTTTTTCTCAAAGAGAGATAAAACCTTCGCTGACAAGCAAGCCAAAGAAGAGGACAAATAGACCAGCGCCGATAGATGTGCCCGGAGAAACATAGGCCTGAGAATAAGCACCGAGAGTCAACGCACCTCCAACGAGCCCGATCACCAGAGATTGCATGTTTCTTCTGCTCACGCTTCTTTGCCTTGGCTGCACCTTCTGATCTTCTTGTTCTCCATCTTCTTGTTCTCGCTTCTCTTCTTCTTTCTCTGACTTCCTTCTTTGTCTCACCATGCTTAGGGTTCTCTGATTAGATGGAAAGAATCTGGTTGTGATTCTGTGATGCGGGTTTGATTCTGTGTTGTGATTTGTAGTTATAAGTTAATAATGGAGACAAACATGGTCTTTTGGAGATTGCTTGGAGGCCTTTTCATCGACAGAAAAAAAGTCAACTCTTAATAGTGGTGCATAGATCTAAGATTCTTGTATTAATTACTATTATGTTATAAAACAACTAGTGGCCGGTGATAGTTGAAACTTGAAATTTCAGCAATATTCAAGTATATGTGTGTACATTATTTGTTGTTCAAAACAAAAACCAAAATAAATATGATGGACACTGTGTCTTAAAAACTTTATTTTAAGCCTTTTACAACCGTTATTTTAGCGTTTTCATTTCCAAATGTGGATTTATTATTCATAGAAAAAGTTTTAACTTTCAACTCATATTATTAGAACTATAGTCTTGGTAGAAATGAGTTATATGTACAGTAAAAATTCTATAAATTATTATTCGATAAATAATATTATAAATTAATAAATTTTTCAAATCCCAAATTAGATCTATGATATAAATCGATAATATAATAAGATCATACACTTTAAAAAAATCTTATGTTAATATATGGTCTTGTTAAAATTAGAAATTATTAATTTATATGTATATATATTTTATATAAATACAAACAAATCAATATACTTATATTCATAATTGAATTAATTTTATATTTTCTTAACACTTAATATAATTTGATGAGATTTAGTAAAATTATATCTACAACATATTTAAATTTATGAAACCTATTTTATCTACACTAAATAATATCTTAAAACCAATATGAATATTGGATTTCAAAATTTTAGTTAATTTATATATACTAAAATTAAATATTTTTCTCATTTGAAAAAAAAATTTAAATTAAAAAAAATCCAAAAGATTTTTTTATAAATTAATAAAATATCATAGTTCCAACGTTATTAGTTTATAGATTTTACTGTATTTAGTTTTTGTAGCTCATAGACAAATAATATATATATATATAACTAGTTTATAGCCCAGTTGACAAAAAAAAACTAGTTTATAGCCCAAGTTTTTCTTTATATTAATCTGGGGTATCCTAAGTACATGGAGAGATCCAGACTAATTTCAAAGAAAAGTGTAGTCCATAGATAGATCATTTTTTTTTAGATCATTTTTTCTGGGTATTGAAATCCCTTATGTATTAAAATAGGAGCATTTTAAAAAATAAACCTTGCCTTCATGTGTGATTTACAAGAGTGCCATTTACACGTGGCAGCTCCACAATCACTCTCACCCATTTTAATTAAAAGCCATTAGCTTACTAGATTAATTACTACTTTTGCCATTGGTCAAAACATTACATATATTTTCTGTACACTATTGTAGTGACCCACAAATATATTTTGATGAACATTGATTTCCTTATCTATAGGGCAATACCTCACCATTAAGCCATATTTTGATATATTGATCGGATAATATGATATACACATATCATATTGTTAACCATAGTTCTACTATTGATTTTCATTATTTGAAATACGTATTTACGAAAATAATAAAAACAAATTGTGTTCCATAGTTATACTATTGACTTTCATTAGATTTTAGAGAAGAAATTTCTCAAAATCCATATGGAAAAGTGATGTCAAAATCATTCCTCTATGAAACCGTAGCTGGTGGAGAGAGTATTGAAATGGTGTTAGTCGAGTTCAGTGTAATTTTCAGTGTATTAACATAGAATGCTTCTTACAATTTGTATATAGATCTCATATTATTGTTATATGAAGACTTATATTTTATATGTTTTTATTTTCTGTTATAAGGCGAGGAGATTCACTCCAGTGTTAAGAAAATAAAATCAAGTTCGTATAGCAACTATCGAAAATGTTTTAGTCAAATAAAAACTAAGTTTGTATTTCAACTATACAAACTGTATAATGATTTTCTGCATATCCAGTTATGTCATATGATATGGGTTAAGTTTTTGTATTTAGATTTAAAGGAAGCCAAGACTCTTATGAAATAAACCAGGCAAATTTATGCGATCAAATATGAATTGTGAGTGGATAGGAAACTTAATATGATGAGAAACATATACGTTGACTGATCTAAATATGACTTGTGCAGCAAAATAAAGTCTTAATGATAAAAGATAGACACTCGACATAATGAATCATTATTTTAGGAATCCCATATCTGGCTTATAAATTGTCAATGATTATGTATATGTCAAAATCGTTTATTTTAGGAATCCCATATCAAACCATTTATAGTGAATTTGTGTTGACTGATTAAAAAAAGGTAATTATAATAAATCATTATTTTAACTGATCATATAATGAAACCAAATTTCTTTCACATGGTAAGTCTTTCCATAGTTACCCGAGCAAATTAGCTCCTTATTTACTATGTAGACAAATTCAGTTTGAATATGAATGAATACTGCCCATCACGCACATCACGCATATCGTATGGCTCAAGTAAATATATTTGAACAAACAAATATAAGCAAGTAATTGAATTGCACTACCAAAACTTATTATGCGAAAACCTTAAGAATATATATTATTTCCTATTATTCCTATTCGACAGCAACTATCTTTAATAGACCTAAACCCTTTGATTAAGAATACTATATATATGTACTTGATAATCACTTACCACCATCACAATCTAAACAGCTCACAGTTCCTCATCGAGAATGAGTGGAATAAATTACATCGCTGATTTGAAACCTAAAAAATAAATGTGGAAGATTAGAGTGAAAGTTGTACGTCTTTGGAAGCAGTACTCATCTGCTGTTGGGGAGACTATAGAAATGGTCTTCGTGGATGCAAAAGTATGTTGTGATTATATAGTATTAGCTTTGTTTGTTTCATTTTTTTTTATCAATATATCTGATATATACGATCATATGCAGGTAGTATTAGCTTTGTTTGTTTCATTTTTTTCCATGCGACTATTAAGAAGGAACTGGTTTCCCAATTTGATAGCTTCTTCAGCCAAGGATGTTCTAAGTTTCTTTTCAACTTTTCCTTGACACCCTCTTGCGGTTCTTACCGGACAACGAACCATCCTTACAAGATTGGTTTCCTGCAAACAATCCGGGTTAGATAATGTGAGGATTTCCCGCCCAATCTCTCAGGCCTCCAACCTGTTCCATACCGTTCGATTTTAGATGGAACACTAGATCCTGATTTTTTTGTTGGTAAGTGGTCCTTCATATATATCAATTACTTGAGGTTTATAGCTTCGGACAATCTCTTATACGTTTTTATTGTTGTCGCAGATGTTATTGGACATATTGTCGAAGTTAGTCATGTAGAACTGATTTCTGTGAATGGCAAAGATACTCAAAAGATATCACTTGAACTGCGTGATGCGAAGTAAGATATTCAAATAACATATGTCCCTATTTCATGATCGAGTTCTTAATCTTTTGAACAAAATTATATTAACGTAAATTCTGATCTCAAAGTATTATTCGATCATAGTAATGTAAGACTCCCAATGGTATTATGGGGAAGGCTTGCTGTGGATGTGGGAACAACCTCTAATCTATGTACTTAGGTTTGGGAAGATTAAAGAGTGGAAAGGTGACAATATATTTATGAAAATCTTTATATATCCTACGTATTTTAAAAATCAAATATAGATAGTATGGTGCTTTACATGTTGTTTGTATATGGCTGATGATAATAACAGAGGATCGTAGCATCTCCAATGCTTACAATGTTTCTGATGTGTCATTGAACTCATCTATGGCTGAGGTCCATGCGTTTGCTCAATTGTAAGATATCTGTATTGAAACACATCGTTTTGGCTATTTATGAGACATGTTAATAAATATCTATAGGGACATATGTACTTATACATTTAAAAACTGTATTTTATAGGCTGCCCAAGGAGACGATACCTCTAGCCATTGTCGAGCATAAGTCTCTCTCTTTGACGGCTGTTGTGAGTGATAAAGACGAGTTCTTCTTAAACACACCAAGGAAGACCATTGCTCAAGTCCTGGAAACGAAGCAGGTATCATTATACCTTACAAATATTTGTCAAAGTTATTTCATAATTCAGTGTTCACAATAAAATAATTTGATTAATATAATGTTGCCAGGTTGATAAATGTATTGTGCTCTGCACAATTAGCGGTATTGACTCTGATATGGGTTGGTATTATCTGAGTTGCAAAGGGTGTGCGAAGAAACTTTTGACTGTGCCACATGATGGTGTTGAAGAAGGTGATGATGAAGATGTGTTTGGATACAGCTACTATTGTGTTAAATGGAAGAACCATGACCCCAAGATTCTTCCAAGGTTTGATAACTAAAAGTATCCCTTAAATATTAAAATGGTTGTGAATAAAATGTATAAAAAATCATAGGTTATAAGTTACATAGGATAAGTACTATGTCAGTGTATTACCATATAAAATGTATAAAAAATCAGAACCTATAAGTTACTTAGGATAGCTGATTATATTATATATCTTTTGCCAATGTTGATCTCATAGTTTAATGTTCAGGTACAAGTTGCATTTGAATGTGATGGATAATACAAGCAGCAGAAAATTTATGCTCTTTGATAATCATGCTATGCAACTTATTAAAATGCCTTGCATTGAGCTTACTGGTCATCCGTCCAAAGACGATGTAAAAATACAAGTTAATTGTATAGATAACTTTGATGAATATTTGTATTCCTATTATCTATAAAAGAAATTCCACAATGTTGTTCCTTAACAGATGTGTGAGACTGATCTACTCCCTCCTCCTCTAACTTCCTTAATTGAAAAAACTATCTATTCAAGATTGCTATTGAAAAGGATAATTTTGTTTACAAACATGACACTTTCAAGGTGTTGAAAATTGTAATTAATCAGAAAATGATTGAAGAGTTTGGAGATCTCGGTTCACAGAAGGTATTCGTTTTGGTTTTAACATTTATATGTTTGTATTGGTTGTCTCAATACAAATGTATTAATATG